TACACAGCCTCAGAGAGAAACACACACCACATTCTGTCCCTGCAGCTGTGAACGGTTTTGCCAAAAAATCCGCGGGCGCTTACCAAACACAGCCACGCCTTCCAAAATGAGCCAATCGCCGCGAGTCAGACAGGTTTAAAAACAAATCAGACAGCAAAACAGCACTGCAAACACTCGCTTCCGCTCTCTGGTCAGCCCCCTCCTCTTTCAAAAAATGGTTCACCCCACCCAAGAACAGAGTGTTCCTCCATGGGTGGTTCGAGGAGGCACAAGTGTGTCGTGTATTTTTGTGCAAATGTGACTGTGTGTGCATGAGCCAGTGGGGAATAGTGGAAACCATCAGCCTAAATAGTGCAATGGGGAAATAATGACAAATTCTCTTTGCTTCTTCAGTATATGGAAACTTAATTAACTGAAAGGGGGATTTAATAATCTGAGAAATGTCACTAAATGGCTCTTACATTTTTTAAATAAATGTGCAGAGCCATGAGTAATAAGCATGGGAGGAAATGCTTCAACAGCTGAAGTTCAGTTCGGCTGAGAAGCACATCCAAATTATTCAACCCTGTCAAATTGGGAACTTGACGGTCTCATCCCCTTGTATTCTGCTCCAAAAGACCCAGTAGCTGTAGGAGTCGAGCTGAGGAAAATCCAGCATTGTTATCCTATTATCTTGGAGATAATGTGAGATATGAGATTTCTCTTAGATGAGAAGAGGCCCACTGCTTAAGGCCGTCTAGATCATTGGCAGGAGACTGACGCCAAAGCTCTCTTGAGAAAGACTCCTCACCTCAATTGGCCCTTGTACCAAAACCCACTAAGACAGAAAAAATGTATAGAATGTCTGTTAGATGGATGGATTGAAAGAGAAAGGCGGAGAGATAAAAGAGGAGATAACATGGGTGTCTGCTTGATAAAATGATAGGAGAGAGCAAAGTAATATCTAAGGCAAACGATATTGTTTTTCATATTAGTGTCTGCTGATTGCCGTCTTGCATATTTGAATGTGTGCCCATGCTTTGGTAATTTGCATGTACATTAATCATTTTCTGTGAGAAGTGATCTGCCACGGCTGCCTGGCGGCTGCAAAAGGAAGAGAGGGCGGTGAGAACAGGCTTCTTGGCACCAGAAACCCGGCTCAACCCGAATATACTGCATGAACCCAACCTGGCTACGGCTGCACGAGCCAAGGGGAGATGTAAGGTGCTCATAATCCTGGACCATAAATCTGTCCAGCATGCATCATATGCTCTCGTTTTCTGAGTGTGTGAATGTGTGTCTGTCGCACTCTTAAATTACTCTGCTCCCCTGAGCCAAAACGGAGGATAAAATATGAATCAGCTGAAGTCTAGGATACTTTCCAGTCTCTCCAGACTCCCCAACCATCAACAAGCAACACAAGCATGCATTTCTACACACACAAGCAGGCAACTCCACACACTCACAAAGTTTCAAGTCTTTCCACTTCATGCTAAGCTTCTGTCAAACACGCTCTCTGCTGCACATTTTACATTCATATCCCTCATATTTGACAAGTGTTTCTCCACTGCAGCTGCCGTAGCCCGTGCAGTGACAGGATTACGAGACTCTTGTCTTCTTCCCTTTAAATCAATTAGATAAAGTGAAACTATCCTGCTCTGTTAGAAAAACTACCTGTGAAGTCAGGGGTTATATGTCTTTAAAAAAGGATAAGACTTGACAGACCTAGGGATACATCTGTATTTCTCTTCCCTTTATTTCCTCACAGACTATATCCTCTCTTTTCTGCAGTCGGTGTAACATTTCTCTCTAAAAATTGTATTTAGCTCCATCTGATCAGATTGCTGTCCTCTGACCTTTTGCCCTGCCGACCCTGCACAGGCCTCTACCAAAGTACACTTTCTAAATAACAGTCTAGTCGTGGATTAAAGTGTCTGACTGCCTGGCACCCTTTGCCGACCTGCTGCGCAATCCCCTGGCATCCGACCGCCCAATCGCCAGAAAAAGCCCTGTAAACACACGCAGGGAAAACTACGTGTGGTACAATAAAGCGGGAAGAAACAGACTCTTCACTGATGCACTGTAGTTGCAATTGTATACGCCGAAAACATCATGTGAGGATATCTTAGACCTGCATCATCTATTTATATTTAAATAAACCCAATACATAAAAGCATAAGTGAATGATGGACTCTTTTATCCCATAACTCCCCACACGGACATACACAAAAAAGAAACCCCCTGAGCGTAACAATGGCAGCATCTAACCCCCTTGAAGTTAATGAACTTCTAGGCGCCTACAGGGCATTCCCCGCACCAAGTTGCCTTAAAACCCCACCATTAGAGGCATTATGAAGTCAAGAGCGAGACTATGCAGCATTCTCTGCAGTGACATGCTGTCAGACCAATCAGCAGGCCCAAACACACACGTCTATAGAAGTAGACAGCCCCTCCCCCTGCACTAGCCCCCACAAAGAAGCACACAACACTCCCAACCCTGACGCTTTGTTGCAATTGACATGTGCTTCTCCCACGCACAAATGCACTATGTATCCACGTGTATGCGTAGATATTTTTAGATATAGTTAGCCAGAAAGACATAAAAACTCTTGATATGGGCCTTTAAAAACAATAGCTAACTTCACAGCATCTAGTTTAAGAACACTGGGAAATAAAGTCTAGTAAAGTTGCTTTACATCTACAGTGCTGTGATGGTAAAAAGTCGGGACACGGTCCTACGTACACTCGCTTCCATGAGGAGGTGATTAGAAAGCCATGACCTCAGAATACCGCGTCTTTCCTAGAAATCAGAAGCCATTAGGTATTTATAGGAGCTTAATGGTACTATCTAGGTGTACAGGCTGTCTAGCACCAAGCCATCAACCCCAACCCCCTGCCTGCCCGCCTCCTACGCAAACTGCCAAGCTATACCACTTAATTTCATTTTGTTTCATCATCAGCTTATCAACAATTCTTTTATCTTTTTTTTTTCTCCCTTTGCCTGCCACAACAACGAAATAAAAACATACTGCTTTGCATCAAATGCTTTGCTCGTGCGTGATATTTCTGATTGAGATGAAAATGAAGTGAATGATACAAGTAATGTTTTCTCCCACTCCCAAAGGCTGCTGTCAAATCTAATAGCCTGATATGATTGTTAAATTACATGTATGAGTAGAGCACCTGTGTTGGGGGAAGGTGGGGGGGATTTAGGGTCCTGGGATCATGGTTTGAATCTGAACATGTGTTTTTATGAACCTCGTCAAACTTGCTTTTATTAGCTGACTTTACATGCTATCCAACATCTCTTATAAAAGAGATGTTTGTGTGTCCACGCCCTCTATTCCTACCAAGCTTCATGAAATGCATGTACATTTCTGTCACACTCCCAACTAAAGAAAGTCTTCAGGGCTTCATTATGTATTCAAAGTCCTGAGAATGAAAGCGGGTTTCTCATTTGATGAACCAAGTTCAATTAAAAGTTGAACACATTTATTGCAAGAGCCAAGGTAGGCAGTTGCATCAGAAATGAGGCTTTCAATGTACATGCATGCATGCTGCTGGGTGAACATTTCCATATGCTATTTGTTTGGTTCCTGTAAGCAAGCTACACATGTGACTCCTAAGTGTATGTTTACATCACAATTCCATCTCTAACCAAAACCAGGTCAGTCCTGTTACTGACATTATGGCTGCCTGCTTTAAACGACTTACCTAATGCCCCGTCATTACCTGGAATGGGCCCCATGTCTCGCCTGTGGCCTGAAATAGCCCCGGACCTCAGGCTGCCACGCTTAACGCCCCCCCCCCCCCCCCCCCCTAATTTGCAGTTTCATAAATAGCGAACTAGGACTTTGGCACTAAAGATAAAGTGGCCATGTGGTTGACTCTTGGGGCAACTGCTGGGCTAATGAAACAGACCTGGAGGCGCACTTTAGGAGAGTTCAGGATTAACATGTGTCAGTCAAGTGCTTGAGATTAGGGCTCAATGCCAAGCAGTGAGATAAAGTATGTTTGCAACAGCAACAAGTTTTAACATGAATCTGAATTCATGTTGTTGGAAAGATGCCATTATTTTAGTCTTTGATCTATGATATTTAATAGTTCTGAGAAGGTAAAAATCATGGGATCAGCCAACTATATAACTCCGGAAGTAAGTATTTAATTTCGCTATCAGCATTAACAGTCTTACTGTGAAGTCCGGTTTTGTGGTCTTGTTTTAGTCAAAACAAACAAGGTTCTGATGACAGACGATGCATGTGCACAGAGCTACTGTGGAGATCTGAAGGTCTCAGATCAGCAAAGGTGCAACATGAGGACATGCACTGCCCTGCTGATCTTCCTGCCCCTTCTCCCTGTCCTCAGGTGGCCATAATGAATAGAAACACGATGAGGCTTGGAGCAGAGGCTGATAACATGGGCAAATGTCCAGGAGGTTATTCTAGGCTCTCAGCCAGACAGACAGCGGTGGTGGACCGTGGTCAATTGAACACCCTTCTGAATATTTACATTGTGGACAGCAGACCTGTGACCTACTACTACTATGTGTCCCACTGCTGATGTGTTTTTAAACTGATACGAATACGTGTGTTAAATGTACATTCAATAGTTGGTTCTATAACTGCCTCATTTATTCGCAGCAGATATGGAAATTAATCATTAACAAAAGCTGTGCTGCTATGGTGTAAGGATTTAATGCACTACAACGGACGCTGTTGCCCATCATGAGCTGATCTGAGATGAGCAAAGCCTTGTTACACACGCACAGCAAGTGACTAGAGTCCAGTCTATTACATTCTGCCATCGATGATCTATACAATGACTGACGGCATTAATGAACTAAGACAAGATAACGCATGGCACCATTCATGCGTAACCGACACTGAATCCCATGGTGACATGTATGGCAAAGGGGTGAATAAAATCACAATGGATTATCGAATAGTAATAATACACGATAATATCACTAGACACTCTGTGATTAACCCATCAAATCCACGTTATGTGTTTTTACTCCTTACCTTCCAGCCAGCTGAGCTATTACTGTCGCCCTTATCCTTGAAATAGGGCACATAACGGACCATCCAGTCGTATATCTGTGACAGCGTGAGTCTCTTTTCTAGGGTGCTCTCAATGGCGCGGGTAATGAGATCAGCGTAGGACTGGTTCCCCCACGCGTTCCGCCGCGAGGATTTGGCTTTGCGCAGCGGTCCGGTCACATCCAGCGCCGCGCCGGCCAGGCATGGGTGCGTCGCGCCTGTGGGTGCCGGGGCACCGGCTGGATGTGTCAGCTCTCCCGGTGTTCCGCCTACGAGCCCCGCTATGCAAGCCGGGACGTCCTCTGGTTCCACCTTGATGTTGACCAGTGGAAGACCCCCGCTGACCTCGTGTCCTCCGGGGAAGTCCTCCGGGCAAGGCAGCGGCCAGGTGCACGAGCGAGTCCGGCTTTGCGGCTCGAAATCCGAATCAACCTGATGAGCGTCCAATTCGTCGTCCCCCATCATCAACATTTACCCTTCAGTTTAAATCGGAATAAATCAAATGAAGAACAAGGGAGGGAATACCTCCACGATCCCCGTATCCAACTGTCCTCAGCAGGCTTTCACTTCACGTTGAAATTCGTCTTGTAATGTATTGAGTTTACACTCTGAATCAATAAGAGGCAATCCAACGGAGTAAAAGGATCATGATGAATACAAGCAGAATCACTGCCTCGCGTGTAGAGATAAGAGAAGTAATAAAAGTAATAATAATTTCTCGTCCATTTTACCTGAAGTAAAAAAGGGGAATAAAATGCTTCTTATTTAACAGTCCATCTCGAGGCAGTCTATCTGAAACGCGTGGCACGGCCAGTCATGGGGGCTTTTCAATCCAGTTGCAGCAACAGATGATATTTCAGATAAGCGGCATATTTGCCAAGCAGTCGTCGATAAATCCTCCACGAGACAACAGGAGGAATGGGGAAAGAGAGGGAGAAATCACCAGAGCTGTGTTGAGTGCATCCACTGAGGCGATAATGCGTGATTACCGTGAATTATTAAATCTTCCAGTCTGCACGGATTAGGCTGGCAGCTACACATTCAAGTCCATTCAGCCTGAACAGCACCCAACTGTCTGCAATTATAATGAAGAGGCGTGCGCATGTGACGAATCGATAAATCCTCAGTCTGAAAATATAAAGAAAAATATAGTCCAGCGATCACATTTCGTATCCACTTGTCAGGTTGATAAAATAGTCCTTTATCACACCTCCTCTTGCTCCCCTATCCCCCCTTGCCTTTTCTCACTCTCTCAGATCCCACACATGTTCTCATTTGCTTACAACTCGTTCCGTCGATGTGAACCGAGGATGACGCGCCGGCGCTGTAGTGGAGATGCTGCCAATTGGAGTGCGCTCACGAAATCAATACTCTCCGAACATGATCACAGCGAAATCCCGAAGTCCTCTTTCCCTCTCTCTCTCTCTCTGTAGCTCTACTCCCCCCTCCCTCTCCACAATCTCTGATATGAACCGAGAGAGCAAACCTCAAATTCTTAATCAAAACTCTGCATGATGATCTTTCTGGCAGAGCGTCACCCGGCGCTTTGTGTGCCAGCCCTCCAAGTCCAGTGGAGATAAAACAAGGCAATGTGAAAATGACACAAAGGGGAGATTCCTACATAAACTTGACAATGTTTTTTTTTGTCTTTAAAAAAATACACCGTCTGATCTGCCTTTGTGCGTAACAAATTGTCCCGGGCAACGTGCGCAGCGTCCAAATGTCCTCCAGGGAGAACTCACTCCGCGCAGCAGGTTTCACTGCTGATTATGTGTGGGCAATACCTTAGCCGGTATCATTTCCTATTGCCGATTAGACAGATTTAGTTCAGATTAAGAGAGATTAGGTAACTCTAGATTTTAATCTGAGAGGAGTGAGGTGAAATGGAGGTCTTCAGAGGCCAGATTGAAAGATCATCTCGGGTCCACACTAAAGCCAAAGTGGGGAGGCGTAAAACACTTGCACATCCCAAATCGCATTTGCCAAGCCTTGACGCCAGAGACACCCTCCTCTGACCCATGTGCTCAAAACTGACCGAGGGGGATTCCGCTCTCCATCCCACCCTCTCCCCAAATCTGACAGCAGGGCGGGCACACTGTCACAGGTGCTCGAATCCCATTGGCTCTTTATTTCCCTCGTACATGCCGAGCTTATTTTTCTGTAAAAGAAAAATGAGGATGGAAGCCTTACACTGCCCCTCACTTTTCACCTTCATGCAGGAGATTTGCTGAGCTCACAGCAACAGTCTGCTTCACATTTTTATGCACATTCACACCTGTTATTTTGATGGTTGCTGTGGGGATATTATTACTTATTCATGGACTTCTAGTAAGCACTGCACACAGAGCTACAATTTCTGATAATATTTGGAAGTTATAGGCAACCGCTCCATACAGGCATTTTAACCACCTCTGGGTAATCAGTATGACCTATGGGGACATGTTGATATGACTGCAGTGAAAATATTCAACAGCTGAATACATTGAAATACAGTGTTCATTCTGTGCAGTCAGACAATAAAGAAAGGACTGTTCTCAACATATTTTACTCCTACAATCTAATATTTTTAGAGGCACACATGCACAGTTCATGAGCACCATCAAAACAAGCACCTTTGCAGCAAGTATAGTTAAAATTACCTGAGGACCCCGCCCTCTCTGTGTAAAGACTGCATGGACGGAAGCTGTACTTAAAAGTTGCACAACATAGCCACAACTGCGTGCACTCAGACATGACTGATGTTGAGAAATGTGTTGTCAAAATAGCACGCTTTTAAATGCGGGAGGATGTGTCATAGTGTGTCATAGAAATGACACAGTGGGATCAGATGGGTAAAATGTCATGTTGCTAATAGTTTGTCTGTGTCTTCAAGCCCTATTGCAACTATAATTTTGATTAACGAGAAACAATTTGTATCATGTACCTCACTGTACGTCACAAATATATCCTTGAGTCTCTAACACAAAGGGACAGATTTGTTGACAAAGGACCACACAATGCATCTTGATTACACACAAAGTGAAAGAAAAGTAGTTATGAAGACAAAAGATCAGATTTAGAGGCTCAAAGCAGAACTAGGATTTCAAAACAAGACTGAGAGGAACTCAGAAGGACAGAGAGGAGGGAGGCCCAGACAGCTTTAAAAACTACATATGTGTTCGGTCCCCTCCAGGCGGACTGCTACGCTGTCCCCATACCAGACATTCCAGAGGCAGCCTGGCTGGCTTCAGGCTGAGTGGCTGATCCTGGAACAGCATGTTCTGCACAGCAGTAATCACCTCTGCCAGCCACAAGCAATGCAGAGCACCACATCAACAACAAGGCAGAGTTCTGCCCGTACCCGGAAATAATTATCTGGAATTTTATTCACTTGGATACGTTTATTTAGCAAGGACCATCCTCTATCCTTGGCCCCCTGTCACTCCAGACATCCCCCACAACCTCATGATGTTGTGCAATGTTTCCCTGCAACCATCGTGCCCAGGGGGATTAGGAGGAGAGGAAGCTGGAGAAGCCACAAGAACACCCTTGGGAGAACGATGCCTGTTTGGGAAAACACTTCCCCCTGGTTCTCCTCCCCTCGGTTGTCCTCCCCTCTCAGCAAACAACCCACACTGTCTAACAAGCATATGGACTCCCAATGACACATGAAGGAGAGGGCTCAAATCCAAGTATCGGGGACGTTCCTGAGTGAACCAAGCTGGATTTCAACCCTTGGTGGCAGCGGCCCAAAGTGGGATGACTTAAGGACTTCCTGCCACGAGCGAGAGCTAGCTTTCTGTGGCATCTTGGCATGAGTGCTGCCAACTATGAGCATTATGTTTAGAGGCATCAAAGACCATATTGGTACCAAGAGTTTTAATTGGGACTGTGTTATGGAATGGAAAGTACAGGCATGTGCAGGTAATGGCGCTTCTCCCCATTTCAGAGGTCTAACAAAATATAATTAACAACCACTATCTGCTGTAGACAATTACTTTTTATTTAACAGTTAAAGAACCAGAACGACTGAATTGCCCAAAGAGGAGAATCAATGTGCACTGCTCTCACACTTAAAAGTGCAGCGAGCATAATTGCATTATAATAAACTGAATGTCAGAGGTGCATAAAAGAGAGTAAAGGTGAGTACAGTGCTGATACAATACAATCCCAACCCATTCAATACAAATCACGGTATTGGCTAGTGAAAAACATTGAAGAGACTAGTACAATACAGTTGTACTGGATTTTTCGAATGGATCTGTATGAAACACACAAGTTAGGTTAAGTCTGTAGAATATGATTTTTATGCCGTATATCTCTGAAGCGCCACAATACATCATACAAATTGGTATTTAACATATTTGCTCCGTGCGAGTTGCAATTGACTACTCCCTAAAGAGTTTTTTTTATAAAAATGTGATTCATTGTCAGCCCCATTATATAGATTTGTATTAAATATAAATGCTTTGACTACAAGAATTCAAAACAGCAATGACCTTAAGATTCTACATTCACCACATCTCTCTCCGAACAATCCCAGAACGAAAAGTAATCAGTTTCATGATCAGTCACATACTGTAACTCTAACCCCTTGTGACTCCATATTCATATCAAGATTTTTTCGCCTTAATGCGCCAAAATACTGTCACACTTGTCTCAGTTTTTTTAAAATAAACCATGCAGAATATAGCATTATGCCCCGGGCAACAAGTTAAATCCCTCACTTGTGGAAGTCAGTGGTTGGCTACATCCACAATAGCCAAGAAGGCCTGATGCCAAGACTCTGATTAGCCTAGCGTTGCCTCTGTTCTCCAGGCGATGGAGTGGAGGTGCAGTGGGAGTCCAGCTCATCACCAAAGAGCACTGTGCTAAACACAAGTTTAAGTGGAAGAAAGCCAGCAGACTGTAGTGTATCCATGCTGGACATATAAAGCCTTGGGCAAGGAGGCATCTGCTTCTTTAATACATAATTCACTCAGAGCTGAAACATCATGCTTTAGACCTAAGGGCCAGTCTGCTTCTGGATGTTGGAACATAAAACTGTCTCCATCAGATAATCGGCTTCCATTGACGGGCAGTTTTTGTGTAATATAAAAATGTGGTGCAACATGAGCTTCTTCCCAAACACAAGCATTCAAAAGAATCCCCCTTCAATATAAGGATGTCAAATAATCCAAAGGGAAGTTATCAAGGTGCACAAAATGTATTTGGAAGCAGTGTCAACTCACCTTTCCACCTCGGTGAGTTTGTCCTCATCAGCCTTGATTTGCAGGTAGGTCAACACGTAGAGACAGCACCCTGCCCTCGAGCGCTCCCTTCAGACACGCACACGGTCACTTTACATCGCAACCGCTGCAAATGCATCTTCCTGTTGAGGTATTATTAGAAGCACTCATGTCTTATTGCCCACATTATTATCATAACTGACAGGATGTGCATTAGTTACATCAGTGTCTGTAGCAGATTGGCCATAATGTTGACACACTCGTGTACAAGCCATTTTGGAATCGAGCATGAGCAGAGGAGAACCTGAGGCTTTCACGTGTAATAGTCCCAGCTCAAGTTCCCATGAAAGAGGCACTAATGGGTTAACAGTAGAAATGAGAGGGGAAGAGAGGGAAAATCAATGCTTTTGTTCAGGGGGAAGAAAGGAAGGCTTTTACAGGTCTATGTATCATTAAGCAATTGAGAAAGCTAATTAGAGTGGGGGGAAAAGATGTGCAGATCTCACAGCTAATTATTTCCATGGCAACCAGGGCTCTTGTAGATGATCTGAGGTTGCATTCAGATGGAAAGATGGCCAGTCCCACGAAGAGCAAGAGAGACCCCTAGTGGCTTATAATGAATGTGTTCA